CATTACGACGTGCGTAGCACGTCTTTCCACCGAAAGTGGTTAAAATCATTCATTGGGTGCACGGAAAGAACTGATGGGACGTTGTTGAACGGAAACCGCGCTGTAAGAGTACTGCGTTATAGGAGGGCTGTCGCAATTTCTGCTCCGCGTTATATGGAAACCGCGTTCTGAGAATACCGCGTTATAGGAGGGCTGTCGCAATTTCTGCTCCGCGTTATATGGAAACCGCGTTTTGAGAATACCGCGTTATAGGAGGGTTGACTGTATTGTGTTTAATTGTGTAGACTTTCATATTTATAGAAAGTATCAGGGTAACATAATAGAAAATGGACATAACATGCGCCATGTTACTTTTGGCGTTCTTTATTCCTTAACTGCACGCCTTGTCAGTTCTGCGCTCTTATTCTGTGACTCTTAACATATGTGTTATCAATCTTTGCGCAGACAAAATATACTACAAAATAGCTGCGCAACGAAATTTTTGTTACAGAATAAGGGAGCTAGCAACTTTGGTTAAAAGAGAATATAACATACCAGAAGGAGCACTGTAAGGTAGATGTAACGATTTGTTTGCCAAGGGTACGAAAATAAACTAAAATTACGTAAAATAATTTATGTATGTTTATATCGCTACATGCATATATTACATTAAACAGGCCTTTTCAGATGCGTACGTACTTTTCGCTTCCAACTGACGCGAAAGTTTCCATCTATGAAGAACAGATGTGCATTTGTATTCTTCACAAAAGTGCATGTCTATCCTCAACGGACAGATGTTATATTACACAACTTCTTAATACTGAATCACAGAACCCTGTTACAGGGCGAGCAATAAATTATGTAACTTCGTATAGCTCTGTATTACGCATCCAACATATTAAAAAAAAATATATATATATATATTAAAAATATCAGCCTGTTTTCCAAGTTTTAATATCCGACACAACGCAATCACTTTTGCAAAATAGAAATTGCACGCCTGCAAGATCCGTACCTCTTATCTTTCTATTCTATGAATTACACGATAATTCAAAAGACAAATTCGACACAATTCGGAAACGTACTCTTTGAGTGAGAGTGCGCGTTAGTATACATACGAAGTTAATTACTGTGCAAGATGTTGATATACTTCCAGACGTTCTTTAAATCTCAATGATCGAGTACGTTTCTTTATTCTTTTTTTCTCGATACATATTCTTAACCCTTTCCGACTTGAATTTATTTTTGCAAGTGAAAAAAAATTTTTCTTTCAATTTATTTTGTCTTGGGACACGACAAGAGTTACAGCGAGAGAACTTATAGCTGCTGCGATCTGTCGCAGCAAAGAACGGAATTCGGCTATATGATGCCAATTCATTATCCTTCAGTATCATTCGTCGCATATTACGTGCTGTCAAAGCCAGGAAAGTTAGTGATTACAATTGGAATCAGCCGGGCAGAAAAGGTTAATAACATATCAATTATATAATTACTTTCTTCTAGTTCTCTATGAAATTGCTGGTATCTCGAAATTGACACTGAGATTTTCGGATTGCGCCAACTTGACGATAGTCGACAGTTTCACCGCGACTCGTGCGGCCTCATCGAGATCGTCGATCGGCACGATCTTTAAGCCTGCGTTTGCAATCAAAGCTTTGGCCTCGTCGACGTTAGTACCCTGTAAACATCAAACGCATTCCAGTCGATTACACAAAAGCTCAATTGCTGTTATCAAAGTGCTCATAGTTGCTCATCAAACTATTCTTGGAGTCTTTCCTGTATCTAGCTTTGTACAGAGCCGGATATTAAGGCCCTAAAAATTTATTATAAATTTTTTAGAATCTTAATTGCAAAAGTTAACCCTATGTGTACAGAGTTAAATATGTTCGTGGAAAAGACTCTAAAAATAGTTGTAAATATGATAAAAAATTAAAATACAGGAAAGCGCAGATATGACGGAAAGTGTAGACACTTTTTGCTTTAATTGCTCCTGCAGAAAGTAAAATGGATGTACTCTACCTGTAGTCTAACGACCACGGGAATTTTTAAACTTAGCTCCTTAGTCGCCGCGATTATACCCTCCGCTATAACGTCGCATCTCATGATGCCTCCAAATATATTAACTAGAAGAGCGTGAACCTGCACAGAGAAGAACGTATAACAAAATTACCATATTAATGTTAAGAAATGTAAAGAAATTATTGCATCAATGTTCACAAAAATTTCTACAAACTGAGAATTGAAAAGAATGAATATTTCTCGTTCAACTTTTTCTTTCAAGGAAAAGATCTAATTGTTTCACAGGAAACCAATATAAGTCGTATTCTTTCATCGAATTCGCTTTTTGCGAAATGCCTCATCATATTATAACGACGCAAACAGCGATAGCGTTCACCCACCCGGGAATCGGAAGTAATGATCTTAAATGCCTCTTTCACTGCTGATGTTGACGCACCACCGCCAACGTCGAGAAAATTGGCCGGTTCGCCACCGTGCAGCTTTATGATGTCCATGGTGGCCATAGCTAAACCAGCCCCGTTCACCATACAGCCTATATTGCCATCGAGCGCGATGTAATTCAAGTCAAATTTGGCGGCTTCAACCTCCTTCGAGTCCTCCTGAGTCCAATCTCTCAAAGCGAACAGTTCTTTTTGCCTGAATTCAGCATTGTCATCAAATCGACATTTGCAATCCAAAGCAAAATCTGTAAAAGGAGTAAAAGAGAAAAAAATTAGAAAAGAATTTTCTCACTGAAATGTGTCATGAAGCCTCATACTCACAGTTTCCGTTAATATCCTCAGCAAGAGGATTCACCTCTAAGAGAAGAGCATCTTTCTTAAGAAACATTTTATAGAGGTTCATAATTATGTTAGAAATGTAGTCCTTGACGTTTTCGAGGCCGAGCTTAGCAGTTATACGCTCCGCTTGTTCTTTTGTAATACCCTTGTTAATGTCAATGGGTTCGTACATGATAGCACCAGGATTTGTCGCGGCGACCTCTTCGATGTTCACCCCGCCTTGGCTGGATGCTATTATGACGGGACCCTGCAATTAATTCATAAATTAATTAAATCATGAATTAATTTGTGTTTGTCGGAAATATCTTAAGGTTTCGAATATGTAATATAGATAGCTGGCATTTTATATATCTACTTGTGCTGCATTCCTTTGAGCGCTCATGAGCGTTATTCTATTTTCCTTTGGCATATAATGAACAGTAGGATATAATGAAAAGTAGAGTAATGCTTATAGCACGTGAGCCCCCAAAAAGAACTTGATTTCAACGACGGTTCAAACACTTTTCTTTTCTCTATGCTATTTGGAACACAACTGATGTCTAATGAGAGATTAACTTCTGAAAAATGATTAAAAAACATGTACTATTAGATATCCAAACTGCAATGAGAAAAGCGTTCAAATTGTATTAAATTTAAGAGTATACTGTTTTCTTATATATTTTCAATCCTTAATAATAATTTTAAGAATATGCCCGTAAAGCAATTTGCCAAACTCTGCCTCGACGTTTCGTAGATTTAAAGAGCTCGATGCATCAAAATTGTAGCGTGGTCGGTGCCATCAAAATTTCTTTGACACGTCAATAATTAATATCTGCATCAGATACTATCTAGACGCATTAAATTATATTTTATTAAAACATGAATAAATAAGCACATAAAAGTGCCGTCCAAAGACCTCCTTAACCATAATGAACACGCGTCTCCAAGATATAGATATTTTTTACAAACTCTCTCTCCTCTTATCATTGCCAAATTTCCCCCTATGTGTGACACCTTTGAAAAAAAAAAAATATATAAATATATATATATATATTTTCTCACGAAAAATGTGTTAAAGTCTTCGAATTTTCCCTTTTAATCACTACATGTCTCCAAGACATAAGATCGTTAAGAGTATAGAATAAAGGTTTAATACTCTAAGGTTAATGGGCGGTAAAGTGTTAGAATTTCAAATTTAAACATTCTTACACCAAAGGCTCTTTCCATCATGACAGCGAGGTAGTACTCCTTACGGGGGAACATACGTTGCGTCACCATCACAGCGTTGCATATTCGGCCAGCTTCGCCGGTTTGCTTCGTGATCAGCAATTTACCCAACATCTGACCTGCCAACGACTTGGCTTCTTCCGGACTGCCAAACGAAAGTGATATAATGATTCTTAATATATTTGGTTGAATTGTAACTTTCTTTTTTTGTGATATTTTTCGCGATGCGATCACATACGTGGTTATTACCAGGGACTTTTGAAAAGTTACTCATTGACAAAAATAACGCGTTACCCACTGAAGAGGGTATCGTTACTTGAGAAGTCGTTACAATTTCATCGAGTTTTGATGATGGCCTTTTTTTCGTTTCCTATGTATATACAAACGATTATATTTGTTACCATCATTCAAAAACACGTTACCGTTACTAATGAGAAAATGTCGTTACCAAATTGTTACTGAAAAAAAAAAATAACAACGTTACAAGTAACTTCTTAACCCTGGTTATTACTCACGTTTCACACATTTTTACTCCATTGACGCTGGACCCTTTGAAATGCCCCTTTCCTCTGCCGCCAGCGAGAACCTGAGCTTTCAAGACAATGTCCTTCGTCTGCAGGCCGGCAGCGAATTTGGCCGCCTCGTCGGGAGTTTTGGCAACGCCGAATTTCGGAGTGGGTACGCCAGCCTCATTGAGTAAACTGTAGCTGATGTGCTCGTGTACATTTAAATTCCTGGCCTGCTGTTTTGCTAGATTGGTCTTGCACGTTAATATCTGAAAATTTGCAAAATGAATATAGAACATAATTAATTGAAAAATGCTGTTGTCTCAAATTGTGTTTGAGTAGTTTTCTTTCGATGCACTTCGAGACGTGGCCAATAAGTTATCTTTCGATATATTCAACTTTTTTACATCGAATTATTTAACATTAAAGCAAAAATCATCCTCAATTTTACAGAGTGTCCGCAAATCATTTACAGAATCATTTATTTTCCTTTCGAGACACAGTCGGCAATCTATCTTGTTGAGAATTGCTCAAGTCAATTCCGAAGCATGTGAATGTGTGTTCAAACTATCCTACAAACGTACGATCAACATTCGATTCTTACGCGATTCTTTAAGATTGTGCATAGTAGAAGAAGTTTACACAGATTGATGAAACCATAGATAACAATGGCACGTTGGTATCATACACAAGATGAACAGGCTAAAATACATATCGATCATTATAAAACACGCGTGATATTTATAGTATATGAATTTATACTTGAAAGCTAATCAGCAATGAGTTATATATTACACGCATCTTTTATGCATAACTTGGCAATGACACTGTATGCAAACATAGGATTGCGTAATATCACTTTAAACTATAAATCAATTTTTATTATTTTGAAGTCGATTTTTTCCAAATTAAACGACGAATTTTGCAATTTTCTTCATGAAAATGTGTAGGAGGTATTATCCATCTAAGGTAATGCGAAACTTCATATTTTTCGAATTTTTATTTACGATTTAAAGACAAATCTTTAAACTTTAAGCATATTATTAGTTTCCTTGGAGGCAAATTTATGAAAATCAGAAGAAAACAACTTAATTTTAGAATATAGAATAAAGTGAGATATCTACCAATTACGAGACGAGATTTTCTCTTTTTTCGAGGAATTTTATCGTTTATTCACAGGGGTGCTCGCTACATTATTATTGACAAGTTTAAATTAAAAAAGAAAAAATTCATCTAACATATATCTTCTTTTTTTTAGATCTAAAGAAATAATTCAAATTCAGCACAGAAAACCTCCAACAATTGTAAAATAAACGGTCCGCTGAATGTGGCCAGTAATTTTGACAAATTTAAATAACTTGTCAACGAAACAAATGTGTCAACGTTTCTGAGATGATTTCTTTAAAAATGCAAAGAAATACGAGTATAAAACACTATCTCATACTTTCACTATGTCCGTGCATATACATTAATTTATGAGTGAAAAACTAAATTTTTTTTACAAAAATTGACAAATCTGTTATATGTGAAGAGAATTTCAGAGTTTGTTGAACATTTTCATTATTTTAGTACAGGCAAAAGAGAAAATTTGATTAATTTCAAAGAAGAAAGTTTCTGAAAAATTCCAACAAATACCTTACTTTCTCTGAAGAGTCAATTTTTAGGGAAAATCAGAAATTAAAAAAAAAATTCACCAGGTATGTCATCGGCGTAAATTTGACAACTGAGCACCTGCTCCGGAACGTCTCCCTTCCATTTTTTCCTTCCGAGAAAGCGTGATGTATGACTGAATATTTCCAAGAGAAAACTGATGACCAACGTTCACCGCGCGCGCGCGAACAATCGATCGTCCATTTTTTTCTTCGCGCTGCTCACAGTGATTCACCGCGTATTTGTCCCTCCCGAAATAGGACAACGATTATGATCGTACTCAACAAGTGATTCGACGTCTCTTTCTCCCCTTGGTGTAATTCCATTAAACGCAATCAGACGTGAACGGAGCATAATCAAAAGCCACATAATCAATTTTTCGCCGAAAATCGCACGATCGAACGCTCGGCTTCATATCGTTTGACCCTGGCGCTCAATTTAGCAGACCACTTTGCAATATGGCGGGACGTCCGTCTTCCCTCTCGCACTCCCACACTGACGTCGAGGTAATCTGTGCGTTCTTTCAGCGACAAGCGGGGTGTCACGAACGTGTAATCGATGTGGACGAACCGCTTGCTCACGTACCTTACAACTGTTGAAACGGCCGAGACTCTCCGCGAGTGAGACTGCTCGCGACAACATGGTGGTCATCTTTGCTCAGGCAACGGACTACCACTGAACGAGAATTTCAGCCTCACCTTGTTCCCCTTCCTTCCTACCTTTTACATACGCAACACCCGATATCCAATCAACATACCACTTTTCTAGAAGAGCTACACACTCATTGGATATTGCATAGCGCTGCAAGAGCCATTGTTTACAACGTTAACCCGATTTATTGTAGTTAGCAAACTCTCGCATTTAATTGGAGTATATTATCAGAAGAATCTAAAGATTGTTACTAAACTGGATTAACGTGTAAACGTAGTTCGAATCTACAATAAGTGTTGTCAATTTTAAGAAATTTTAAGAAATTAACCAATCAAGCGCAGTTTACAATGGGCGGTAGGACTGGTCTACAAACCCTTAAGAAATTGACCAATCATAGTAGATTATTCTTATTCGGCTGTGATTGGTTAATTTCTTAAGGCTTGAGTTTAGTTAAATTAGCTCTGATTGGTCAAATTTCAATCTAATTTCAATCCATAGTGTGATACTACCTAATCCATAGTGTGATACTATACTATGAAATTAGATCAATCCATAGTGTGGGTCCAATGGCGTTTTCGATTTGCTGACTCGATCCAACTTGGGGTCATCATACTGTCTATTGATTGGGGAATTTTAAAACAAGTATATTTTTGTTCTTCTTAACTGAACTGGTGCAACTGAAATGAACAGGTCATTAGTTTTGCACTAATTTATTGTACCGGTTCAATAGTGCAGCTAAAAAGAACAGACCATATATGTCTATGAATTTTTGGGCACACGTGAGGTTAACACGCTTCTGTACATACATATTTCCGGAATTATTGTTAAACGGTGTGCTTCTAACATCATAAAAGTAGGTTATTACGAAGAAATAAGTCTTTCTTTTCTACTTCTTTCATGATCGTTTCTTCTCGTAAAGATGCCCGATTCTTAATAGTTAAGTTTAAGTTTCTTTCTAGGTAAATATGGTGGAGGAAATTCAAAAGAAACTTCAGAATGAAGTTGACAAATTAAGGCAAGTCCAAAAAGGTCAGAAAACACCGTGTAATAGTTTTACAGGTTATTTCGTTTTAAAGTCTTATAACCTCTAATGTACCTAATACATCTTCAGACTACAGCAAGGCAATAAACAAGAGGCAACAATTAGATGGACAATTGAATGAGAACATCGCAGTTAAGAAAGAATTAGATCTTTTGAAGCAAGACAACGATGTTTTCAAGTTAATCGGACCGGTTCTTGTGAAGCAAGATTTAGATGAAGCTAAGCAAAATGTTACAAAACGCATGGATTACATCACAGCTGAATTGTAAGTCCGATCATTGCAGCTGAAATGAAGAGTTCCGAACTTGTGTATTGATTTCAGAAAACGTATGGAGGAATTGATTGCTACCTTGGATAAGAAAATGGATACTCACAGAGAGGCACTCGAGAAGATACAGCAAACGTTCCAGCAAGCTCAGATCAAAGCATCATTATCTCAACAGAAAGCATAACATTACAATCATACGGCTTTGTGAAGTTATATTTGATCGTGTAATTAACTATAAATACTTGAGTAACAAGATCTGTACAAGTGATGTACCATTTCTTGTTTTATTTATTTATACTGCGCACGAGTAATGAGTCATCTGGCTGTATATCACTTGAACGTATTCTATGTAAATTGAAAATAATGTGAATTCCACGGTATGTGTTTTCCTTTTAATTCAAGCATCCTTTCATCAGCAGGAAATGTCATTTGTGTCCGCTGTTGGACAGAGCTTACTGATTGGCGGCAGAAAGTGATTTGTCTCCTTTAAATATATTGACGAACTTCGTTAGGTTTCTGTCGTCAGTACGTTATCTGATCCTGTTTTGCTAGCAAACTGTTGACAGAATCTATAGCACAATTAATTTGCCACTTGATTGATCAAGTGTGTTAGTTGATTAGGTTGCTCTGTGCAAGTTACCCTTAACGTTACCATGTCAATGGTACATTTTGACAAAATTTTTGGTACTAAAATTTTATTCAGTCTTCCGGTCTCCGCATTGAGGGTACGAGGTTCGGGGAAACGCTATTTAACGCTTCATTCTATCTTTATTAAAACAAGGTTAGAATGACGCGTTTCCATTTCGTGATATCTTTGTTATTCATTGAATGCGAAACGAAATGATGTTTGTGTCGACTTGTATCACCAAATGGAAAGCGTCTTCCCGAATGCGCATCCTGAGTACAAGCTAGCGCAGTAATTGTGAGAATAGGAAAAGTGGAGGTAACTGACAGTCTAAGATTTAATTCAATGAAATTGAAGAAAGATGTAACATTAAAATGACCCGCCAAATATATATCAAGATGGCGATGGTAATGTCGCTTGTGTTAAAAATATGATATGAGAATCGTCACATGTATGTTAATCATTCTGGTTGTCGATTCGAACAAACAGTTCAGTGAGAAATGTTGCTAACATTGAAGCCGGATCACAAGAAGCATGTGTTGTTTCTAACCAAACAATCGCCGCCAGGTACGAGTGAATTTGAACATATATTTTATCACGAAAATGTGTCGTAATAATTGTGATTCTCGCAGTTCTACAAGACTTTTGCAAATTGGCCTTGGATTATTTGCAAAAGGGCCCGAATGTCAAAGTGTACAATGCTGCCGCTCGTAAGTAGTTGATTATTATTACTTTCAAATGATGCTACATCCTTTACGTTACTTAATATTTCAATTGTATATTTCTTTCAGAGAAATTAAACGTTGAACTGGACATGATTAAAAATTCAGTTGAGGGTTTAGTCAATCTCTTGCTGGAAACCTGTAAACATAAGGTAAAACCTGTAACAAAAATTTCATATAAATAGTATATTGTTCACTGTATTTGTATTTTGTAGTTGAATGCAGAAGATTTTCGAGATTCTGTGATTGCTCTAGGCTTCACAGAAGAGAAAGAGGCAATACTAAGTAAATTATATAATGTAAAAAAAGACGAGGTTACCGATGCTCTTAAAGAGATTGGATTTAAACAGGCCAAGTATCACGATATGGAATGGAGATTCGAAGTTCAGGTAGTACAGTTTTTATAGTTCTTTTTACAGTCACCTGATCAGTGCACAATTATGTTACCTGTTTTACAGACTGCGTCGAGGTGCCTTTTGAAGCAAGTTATACCACTCGTTGCTCTAAATCTGTCGGTGAAAAATCCCGACGACAGTCCCGAGATAGAGCATATTTTGCTACAAACAGATCCTACTAACTTACTTCATATGACTCAACAGTTGGAAGAGGCTCTGCAAGAGAGTCGTAGCCAACATATTCGGAGGATATCCAAAGCGATAAAATAAGACTTTCTGTGCGCGTCTAACAACATATTAAATAATATATATGAACAAATGTGAAGGTTTAACATAAAAGTATTGATTTGTATAATAAATGTAACTCAATGATTCTCCAATCACATTTGTCATTCGTCACATCTGTAAAGTTTCATTCCGGGCGGCTTACTCTAAATAATAACTGACATTAATCACACACACGTACAGATCTACTATATATGTTTCTATTGTACATTTTCCTTTGACTTGTAGTTGTTGGAATTCACATTTGAATATATAATTGGATAATTTTATTGGATCTCCCTGCATAAAGGAGGGTATATAAGAGAAGATTCTTTTGCACTTGTACTGTCGTCTACTACATATACTATAGTACCATTATAGGCTATTCCTTATTACAGAATATTGATGTTTTACAAATTGGAGTTTTTAAGTGTCTCAGCACCAGGAACATTTTGAGACACACTGCAGCATTAAAAAGTACGTATGCGGTGTATCTAATGTTTATTTTTACGGTATATTTTGAGCTACATCTCTCTTATAAATTTTTATCATGCTCCAGAATGTATCTGGAGCAAAAGAGTATCATCGTTTGACTATCTTTTTAGAAAATGGAGTCTCTCCCAATAGGCGCCCAAAGTCTGACTTCAACCGTTTTATACGGGCAATCCACTATGACATTCGCTGCTGATATCCTGACTACGGACCGGCCTCACTTTATGCGACAGATTATGGGTTTTAACAATCAGACTGTAGTGGATAAAGTACCTCCAGACATGTTACATTTGGTCGACCCGCATTGGTTGTTATTCATTTCTTCGTGTTGATATTGTTTAATTATTTTTGTATGATTAAAAAGTGCTATGTCGATTGATATGTACTTTTTAATGCAGGCTAACGATTATTAAGACCCTTGTCAAATTATAGGTATCATTTCCCACCACTGGATCCAATGTGGCACAAAATCTTAGGCCTCGTGATGATCGTGCTGGGATTTATGGGATGGTGTGGCAACGGCGTTGTGGTGTACGTGTTCCTGATGACACCTTCGCTAAGAACGCCCAGCAATCTTCTGGTAGTAAATTTGGCTTTCTCGGACTTCATCATGATGATCATTATGTCTCCTCCTATGGTAATTAACTGCTACTACGAGACCTGGGTATTAGGTAATGCAAACTTCCTACTTACATCATTGCAAAGTTCTCCCATATAATAGCACAAATGTTCTAAAGACGTCCTCCTAGAGACGTTCCAGAGATGTTCAAACATTTCTAGGACGTCTCTAGGATGTCTTTTGAACATTTGTGCTATATGGGCTCTTTCGAAATTGGATGTCTGTTAAGTGTGCATTTATATTTTAAAAAATATAAAGGCTAATAATGTTTTCTTTGTTTCTATTTATTAAAAAATTTTTGGGTTTACGAACGCTTCAACATATGCTATATTTTAACATTAATTAGCCTCACATAGCACATTTTATCCGGGGATATCCTGTGGAAGTTCAAATCTCTAAGGACTCCACCAAGTCATCCACAGATGAAGTATGCTATGTAACTAAGAACGATTTCTCAAGGGCTAAAAATAATAGCTGTTTCAAGTTTTGAAATATTGAGAAATTTCAAGTTTTGAAATATTGAGAAATTTTCAAACTTGGTATTCTTCAAGGAATTGGTTGTCTTAATCGTAGTAGTTTAAAAAACTCGCCATCATTCTAATAAATCAATTTCATGTTAAGGACCTTTGATGTGCGACATATATGCAATGGTTGGCTCTCTATGCGGGTGTGCCTCGATATGGACAATGACTGCTGTCGCTCTGGATCGCTATAATGTTATAGTAAAGGTATATATAACATATTTTCATAGAGAGAGTGTGTTATGTGTGTTTTGATAAAGGGAAACTAAGAAGTACCTTTACAGGGGATGGCAGGAAAACCACTCACCATTACGAGAGCGTTACTCCAAATTTTGTTTATCTGGATATTCAGTTTAATATGGACCATTCTACCAATGGTGGGATGGAACAGGTAACGTCAATAAAAAATAACAATATGCATATAATAATGTATTAAAAAATAACAATAACGTATTTACTACATATGTGTTACTATATAATAAATGTTAATAACATTAGATGATAAAAAAATCATGAATTTAGGTATTTTGGTAAATAAGAAATTTTTACATTTTTGCATAATTAGGTATGTGCCAGAAGGCAATATGACCGCCTGTGGTACGGACTATCTGACCGAAGATTGGAGTTCCAAGTCTTACATCCTAGTATACTCGATATTCGTGTACTATATGCCGCTCTTTATTATAATCTACAGCTATTATTTCATCGTTTCGGTAAATAGATTACAATGTTTTTTAAGGGAAAGATCGGCATTTGTAGCTATATTTTTAAAACCAACAGACAGTAGCTGCCCATGAGAAGGCAATGAGAGAACAAGCGAAGAAAATGAACGTCGCGTCCTTACGATCCGGAGAAAATCAAAATATTAGCGCGGAAGCGAAGCTGGCAAAGGTGAGCTGCCAAAGAATATTCGCTGAGATTACGATTGCTATTGTTAAATACTTGCCGATTTCCTAAAATCATCAGAGCTGGATAATATAACTAATTAATCAATGACTTTTAACGAGTTGCAGGTGGCTCTAATGACTATTTCCTTGTGGTTCATGGCATGGACTCCGTATTTGGTCATTAACTATATCGGTTTGTTCGGTGGTGCTAACATCAGTCCTCTCTCCAGCATTTGGGGATCTCTTTTTGCGAAGGCGAACGCTATATATAATCCCATTGTTTATGGAATTAGGTAAACCATTGGTTAACGTAACTCAATTGATGGTACTCAATTGATGATATATCAGGCTAATATTGACCACACACTAATTGATCAATTGTAAATAATACTTTATTTGACGCAGTCATCCCAAGTATAGAGCAGCGCTAAAAGAGAAGTTACCATTCCTCATATGCGGCTCGACTGAAGAACCTGTGAAAGTCGCAGAGACAACATCCACGACGACGACGGCGTAATGTCGCAGGGTGAATTCCAAACATTGTGATATAATATAGTTCGAGTATATATAAATATGTCCGAAACTTTTCTTTCGATCGCTCGTGAGTAAAGATAGAATGGGTTAAACCGAGCGGAAAAATTCTCTACCATTTTACAAACAACTACGCAAACTTTCGAGTTATTAACGATTGAAAATGGTCATATATATATATAAACTTTAAGTAATGACTCGAAAATTTACGTTTTAATGGTACAGTATTTTTTTTTTGTTCCGAGTGGTCTACAGATATATGATAGCTGTTGTACGACAGATTCAATATACTGATGTCTGTTGCTAGACAACAGTCCGCTACTATATACTTGTAGATTAGGCCAGAAGAAAAAAGTCCTTCATCATTTTGCAAATAACACGCAAATTTTTCAGTTATTAACCCTTTGGGTACATTTGACGAGTGAGACTCGTCATCTGTTTACTTGGGCATAAAATGTATTACTTTTACATATTAATCCATATAGCGACAAATAAAATCCGTCCCATGGGCATAAAAATCTTCAAATAATTCAGTATTCAAAGGTTAATTAAAGAAACCTTTATATATGGCCATTTTTAATAATTCGAAATTTTGCGTGGTTTGCAAAATGGTAGAGGACTTTTCTGTTTAACTCAGTTCTACCTTCTTCGCACAAGCGCTTGTACGAAATATACCAGACAGTATCTTATATACTCCTACGTGCATACACGAAAAGTCAACGGATGAATGATATCGAATATACACTAATCAATGATTGTAAATTTGCAAAGGTAATCTGTAAGAAACGTGTGTAAGAAAATTTGTAATTTGTAAAACTTCAATAGCTCTTACAGATGGCCGTTTACGCGAAAGGCTACATATACGAGATTTCGAGTGGACGAAATGTTTTCAGACATGAGGAATTCCTGTTTTCATTTTTCAGTTTTATTCTTCCTTTCAGTTGAGGTGAGTTAAGTATTACCTTCGCAGAAATGAGCTATAAGAGGCACTTATTGCGTTATATCGATAGTATGGAAAAAGGATATTAATCAATAAATCGTTTGGCATGTACAATGATTCGGGGGAACTTTCTATTGCGATTTTATTTAATTTTAATAATTCTTTGTAGATTAAGGCTCCCTTCGTTAGTAGTCATATTATATAACGTTACGAGAAATGACATGCAGTAAGTTTCTCGCAACGTGTGGCTTTTTTAATTTCCTCTGAAAAACACAATGAATCTTGAAACCGCTGCAAAATGTGCAGAAAACTGAGATATCTGGCTGACATGTCACGTGGAAAATCGCAAAATAATTCTTGAAATAACGGGTCGGATTCTTCCCACATGTCGGTCTTAATTTTCTATACAGTGGTTTCAAAATTACGAAATTATTGTGTTTATCGGGGAAAATTTAAAATAAAGTTACATATTGCGGGAAACTTACCGCATGTCATTTCTCGCCTATGACGTCACAAGACCAATATGGAAGAAGCCTTAATATTAAATTAATATTTACATTTTCTTGATTTACTGGATTAATAAAATTGATTAATCTCGTAAATCATATTACCAGATTGGTAAAGATTTTATATCTTTATTGTAGGTTAATAAAAATGCAATAAATACATGATAGTCTTTTGGTCGTCGTGCGAATAATGATATTCCATGGAATTTCGGCTGGATTAAAACTTGCAGAAATATGATTGCTTGCGGAATTTATTTAGTTTTAAAAAATTTATTACATAAATACGACATTACTGTCAACTTGGTTTACAACAACATGCATAGTAATAGGTACCCGATAATCTGTTTATTCCATTTATTTCCAAGTGTATTACGTTGTCTCCGAGAAATAAAATTCACGAATTAAGTTATGAATCACCGAGAATTCACGTTCAGCGAAATTGTACGATGATTCATAGAACTGTTTGACAGTAATTCAACAGATGGAACGCAACCCCAATTTTTTTGCTGTTAAATGACCCCGCTTGGATTACACAGTGAATCACGCGCGTTTGTCTCACAGTGATATAGTATCATGATTGCGTGCGTTCTTTCGCCGTAATGATTCTTTTCGCGCGAGATATTCATTGCCGTATACTATTTACAACTGCCGTGATTCTCCTTTTGTGACGAGAATGTGATACTACATGTCACGGTGGCGTTTATCTAACGAGTTTATTGTATCGTTGAGAAACAGATGTACGTAATGCATCGTAGCTTTATGCGGCAGACTTTTCGCCCTCCGTGACCGTGGTGGTCGTAGACGTCGCGTCCGCACCGGGCGCCGTTTCGGAGGTACACGCCAGAGACGGGAACCTCTGGAAAAGAGCGGCCCGGTACTTGGGATGGCTGAAATCATAGGAGAAAAAAGATCGGTAATGACATGTACATTTCTGAGTTAAATAAGTCTCTATACACGGCCATTTTCGAAATTTTTCGTACTTTGCTAAAGGACTCTTTTGTTGATTGAATATGATAGCACGTAGATATACTTTATAATATTTGTTTCTTTCTGTGCTTTATGTTTTCTTAAACAAGATTTTTAAGAATTCATCGACCCACCTGATACCGTATACGATTGGATTGTATACGGCGTTGGCTTTCGCGAAGAGTGAGCCCCAGATCGTGAAGAGCGGGCTGATTTTCGTCGTCTCGAAGATGCCCGCGTAATTGATGACCAGATATGGAGTCCACGCCATGAACCACAGAGAGATGGTCATAAGAGCTACCTGTGTGTAATAACATTAAAGCAACTGTAGTATATAGGAGAGAATTAATTTACGTTATTGTCCTTATATTAGGGGTACATAATCAAATATTACACTCTTATTCTCATCAGTTTGTGTAGCGTATTTTTTTTCCAGAAAATTATTATCAATGTTTGCCGGTATCTAGATAAAATTATCCAAATAATTATATCCGGATGGATAGATATCTTTATCTGGATATTCATCTTAGACGTCGTCTAAAAATTATCCGAAATGATGGTCCATATTCTGAGCTCACTTTCCAATAAAATGAATGAAATGAATAATATAAACCTATGCGTTTGAAATACTTGATTATTTGTAAGTACTCCTAATAACATATAATCAATAAGAATTCCGATCTCATTTGATGAGAACTAATCTGTTAAATAGGTAGGAATGGCCGAGTCAACAACTTGCCTTCGCCAGTTTGCATTCGGCGCTGGTGTTTTGGTTCTCGGCCGATCGTAAAGACGCGACGTTCATCTTTTTCGCTTGCTCGCGCATGTTCTTCTCATGAGCGGCGACGGCCTGGATGATGAAGAAGTAGCTGTAGATGATGAGGAACAGCGGTAAAAAGTAGACAAAGATGCTGTATATCAGGATGTACGATCTGGATAACATGTCTTTGTTCAGGTAGTCGGTGCCGCAGGCGGTCATATTACCTTCGGGCACGTAGCTACGAAATACACATCGTATTATAAACCTCCAACAATTCAGCAATAATTCTCGATACTACTTTCCCTCTCACCGGTTCCAGCCGAACAACGGGGCTAACGTCCAGGCCAACGCAAAGAACCAAAGAGCAAATATGCGAAGGAGGGCGCCGTTGACAGACATTGGCTTAGCGGACAAGCCTTTGACTATTACGTTGTACCTGTCGAATGCGATCATCGTCATCGTCCAAATGGAGCCACATCCGAACAGGGAGCCCGCCAATCCGTACATTTCACAGAAGAAGGGTCCTAATACCCACGTCTCGTAATAGCAATTGATCACCTATATGCGAAAGAATATCTAAATTGATGAAGTGAATCTCCCAACAGAAGTGAGTGTAACGCACCATAGCCGGTGACATGGCCACCATCATGAGGAAGTCGGAAATGGCGAGATTGACGACGAGCAGGTTGCTCGGAGTACGCAAGCTCTTGGTAGTGGTAAATATATATATAACCATGCCGTTACCAATGATGGATATTACACCGAGGACGCCGATTACGAAACCGAGCAGCCCGTGCCACAGCGGATTCATCGGTGGGAATTGGTACCAATGGGAGTCGACCATATGCAGCATCTCCGGTGGCACCTTGTCCACCACCGTCTGGTTACCAAATCCGCCGCCTCCTCCTTGGGCTGCCCATGTGTAGGCTGCATGGCTTGGCCCGGCTGATAACATCTGCCACAATTTTTCTGTTATGTCAACTTATTTTCTTTGCTGCTCCAATGATGATTTATGTCGACCGATTTTAAAAGCATTTCAGGAGAAAGAAACTGTGTAGCCTACACAGCAAAGGAACGAACCTTGCAAAGTATAGCTATTTTCTAATTATATCGTTTTATCAAATTTACAGTTGTGTAAGTTACAAGATAAATTACAAAATTATTATTACAAATATATGTAATTTTAATTCTTTAGAAATGTAAGAACATTTGGAAACTCAATGATTGAAATAAGAAAACAATTTAGCTTTTTACGTGACAATGAATATAAGATTTAATGAAGATAAATTTAATATAGTCCGTTCGACATATGTGGAATAATCTGACTTAGATTTCTCATGTTTCTTTTTACATATATGTGACAAGATGATGAACGTTCGTGAAATTCGACGCTACTTCTCACCTTCGTGCTACTTGGAGAAAATCGTTGTGACGAACGAACTAATCCAAATACACCGAATTGTTATTGCCGTGGGTTTTCGCGATCTTTTCTGTGGAACTTCTGCAAGAGGATTCCCTGTTCGGTCCACTTTGTTGTATGCGGCTCAGACTGATTGCGACGATGAGTTGCGCTTAAATATGCATCGCATTCTCGTCTTACGTCTTCACGGCGATATATACGACGGAACTAAGTCGCCAAACAGTCTTAAAAAGTTTCTATTAAATTACACAGGATTTAGGAATACCTTGGCGTACCTTGAGTGGCTCATACACAGAAACCTTACGAGGCATCGAAGACACTCGCGAAAATTCGAGTCTAAAGTTTTGATCGAGACGATCAAACGATCATACTGGATCTTATCGTCATGATTTATCGCAAATTGTCTAATTTTTATAAAATTATGATATTAAGCGTGTAGATCGTAAAATAACACCTCGGTTATTATGTTTAAATTTAAAACTTAGAAGCCATTTTAACGAACGACAGACCCGGAAAAAAAGATATGAAATTTATGTTTTAAACACATTCTGTGAATTAATTTGCTCAAAGTGCTTAATCACATTTAGTTATCTATTTATGTATACAAAATAGTTTCACGTGTGGAACAGTTAACGTGCTAATTTATGGTCTCACTTTGATAGGATTTATTTTATTACGAACAATTTTGTATGATACATCATTCTGTTACGATTTCATAAATTAATTATAAAATGTAATTTTCTATCTCTCTTTCTATTTTTACCGGACAGCCGGATATTTCATACCTACGTATGTACAATGATGTATAAATGTAAAGAGAGAAGAATGACGCGCATGTAGACAAGAATACGTATACATATGTGTTTTTCATCCACAGTAATTGCACCAAATGAAAAAAAAAAAATTATCGCCAAAAAGCGAAATAGTTCAAAAGTGGATGCAGATGGCGTATCGCAAACGTGGCGCCGCTCTCAGGTTCCCTCAGGTACTTTCAGCTGTTGTAGATTCTTGAAAAGAAATATTACTTCGTGTAAAAAAAAGAGGGAAATAGGATTAATGCAAGCCAATTCAGCTATAAAGACAGGCCTCTTATCTGATGGATCAACGACACTGTGATGATTAACATCGACGATAAATCTTCTCAAAGAGGATCAATAAATTTGGTACGTGTAACAATATTTCATGCACCCTCTCTCGCATTATTGACGGCAACGTTCTCAATAGTTATGGAGGAGAGTCTCGAGGAGAGTCTGGTGGGCGAGGTGGAGGACGATGTTGGCGGTGAGCTGACGGCGCAGGACGCGCTGCAGGCGATTGAGAACGCCTGGATGAACGAGAAATTCGCGCCGGAAATTCTGCCGCATCAGTCGAACCTCGTAGATTGCATGCTGCAGCAAATCGCGCACATGGAGAGGAACGTTAAGAGGTTAGATCGGAGCGATCTGCGTGCGCTGGTGCACCGTATGGAGGTTGATCGCATCAGGTATGTGATCTCGAGTTACCTGCGCACACGCCTGGAGAAAATTGAGCGCTACACTTTGCATATCTTGTCGGAAGAAGCGAATCGCGGTGAAGATGAGTGCTACTTGACGCCGGGCGAGCTGCGCTTCGCCAAGGAGTTTCTCACCAGCATGGAGACGCTTTTCAAGACGGTGGCGTTGCAGCATATGCCGCCAAATTTCCAGCGTTTCGAGGTGAATAAATTCACTGTTAAGCCGAACATGCAAGCGCATGTGTTTCTGCGCGCAAATCAGCCGGTTACCGGTGTCGTTCTACCTGGTGTGCTCAACGAAGAGATAGACTTCGAGGCTGGTTCGCAGCACATCATTCAGTATAGCGCGGTCGCACACTTGGTCAAGTCTGGTGTAGTGCAGTTGATTTGATCGGAAAGAATGGGGTGAAAAGTAGTGATTTTTCTTCTATGGAACAATATATCACTTTATTTGTATATATTACAAAATCAAAATAATCATTGCCGAGAGGAGAATCTGGCAGTTCTCTTTTTCATGTGACGTTTCTATAAAAACTGATACAAAATACTAGCAATTAACTGATACTAGCTATTCATTTTTTGTACTTGCTTTCTGTATAATTACTAACTTTGACGTATTGTTGTATAAAATATATGATTTGTAAAATTACGATGAAGATAGCTCGGTTGTAAAGTAGCATTTTTTAAATTCTTGATAGAAACGTGTTGCCTTTTGACTACACAAGTATACAAGAACAAAATAAGTTCAAGTATCCTTTTTTTTCTTTTTCAAGTAAGTACTTAGTAAGTACTAAAGTTTGAGGTTAAGGATTATCATCACTGAGAAGTTTTTCAGATATAAAATCTTAGCTTCTTAACTTGAATAAATCAAATTAACACGTTCGCTCCTCGGACACATTTCCTTCTACCAAGCCGCCAGACGTGCTCTGCGCTTTATTCGCAAGCCAATGGTTCAAATTAACGTGCTTATACTACGGATTAACTTGTGCTTGGCACTAGCAGGTCGATAATTGTATATTCGTGGTTGGCTTGTGATGTATCAACTGCGAGTATCCTCGTAGTTGGCAGCGAACGTATTAAATAGGAAAAATTGGAACTATAAATTTGATCGTTGACATACTGAAATATTGCTTATTTTTCTAATCTACTCACTAAAAAAGTCACGTAAAGCCATGCTGTTGCTCGTATACCTGTAAAAATCAGATGCAAAAATTGAACAATACTTTTCCAATCATACAGAGTGACTGAAAAAAGAAAAGAAGAAATACATGCAAATCAATATTGTTAAAATCAAAAATCCCGGAAAAAGAACTATATAAATCAAGCATTTTGTGTTTTTGCCATGTGTTCTCAGCTTGTCAGCTTTTTAATAAACGTTGACTGACCGAGCGATGACGAAGAAATTTCGAATTCCCGATGCTGTTTCAAGACACACTTTCTAAATTTCCTGGAATGAAATCTCTCATCGCGTGACTTTTGTGCTATTTTTTTCACTTATACAGAATGAATTCTCCACTCTCTGAATCTCGTGTGAATATTTTTACTTGATATTGAAGAGTGATATGTAAAACTACACAATTTTCAGCCTTACACATAAGACCCATAAGATGAAAAATCGCACAAGTAATTCTAATTGATGACAATTGATTATAAAGGCTTTCAATTGTAACGGTTTCATGTGTACATACATAAGGATCATATAATCTTCGATCTCGAAGGAATGATACACGAATTCCATCCGTTACTACATACAATCGATTGGAAATATTTAATCGATTGATGAAACAGTCGTTCGTATGAAGTGAAAATCCACTGGAGTTCCTTTCGAGCGGCGGTCGATTTTCACTCGATAGCAGCGGAAATACCTTACCACTTACTTTGTGAGTTTCACTCTGGGAAATTTAGAAACATCACAGCCATTTACCTCTTGCGCGTGCTGCCTGAGCCGCTCGGCCATAGACTTCCCACTTTCCTGAACCATGCTGCTAAAGTAACTCCGATTGTTCTGCAGCAAGATGTACGGATGATCGAATTCAATCGCTCGGCCGTGATTCATCACCAGCACTTTGTCGCTATCTATTATGGTGTTCAATCGGTGCGCTATCGTCAATACCGTACAGGCCTTGAATTTCTTCCTGATCGTATTCTGTACGAGCGCGTCCGTCTTAGGGTCCACGTTCGCGGTAGCTTCGTCTAGCACGAGTATCTTGTTGTCCTGTAGAATCGCGCGCGCTAAGCAAACCAGTTGCCGTTGGCCGACGCTGAAGTTACTACCGCCCTGTTGAACGCAATAGTCCAACGAGTCCATCGACTCTTTCAGTTCTACCTCCTTCAAAGCGGCCCACAGATCGGTGTCGTTGAATTTGTTAAAGGGATCGAGATTCTCGCGCAATGTGGCGGAGAAGAGTACCGGATCTTGCGGTATTATAGAGATCTTGTTCCTCAAATCGTGCAGGCCGATTTTCTTCGTGTTTACGTTGTCGATGTAAATGGCACCGTCGAGTTTCGCCATATTAAACAGAGCAGAGATGAGAGACGATTTCCCGGCACCGGTGCGTCCCACTATACCGACCTGGAGAAGCAGACAAAGCAGAATTTTCTTTGAGGGCTTGACGCAGTCCTTTATTAGCCCGGATCTACAATATGTATAGTAAGCGTCTTTATACAGTCTCTTGTTCTATAAAGCAATAAAATGTAATTAATATCTCCATAATTACCTTCATGCCGGGTTCAATGACAAAACTTAAAGACTTGAGGACGGATGAATTCGACTCAGAATATCGAAGATAAACACGATCGAATTTAATTTCTCCTTTGGATGGCCAATTACTGGATGGTTTGTCTGCAGGATTACTCTCGAATGGGCCCTCTTTCTCGAGCTCGGTAAACTGCAATATTCTCTCCACACTCGTCATTTGAGTGATCATCTCGGCCATTTGACGCAATCCGTATTGTAGCATACCGCATAAAATGAGCACTTGTGAAATAGCTAGACCGACATTCCCGGCGAAAGTGTTGTCTGAAATGTGAAGAGGCTCGTAATACAGATATTGATGTGTCGATCGACTAATTTTACAGACAATAAATATTGACATTCACCATCATTGAGCGCGACGAAACTGTATGTGACGACAGCGACAAAACAAATGGAGACTATGTCCAACGTTAAACCAAACGCCACACCAGTCATGACAGACAGCGAGTAAATACTGGTGTGGAGATCTTGGTGTTCGTCAAATTGTTTGCGAACCATCTCCTGAGCACCGGCGGAGCGTATTGTCGTCAAGCCTGACAAAGTGGAATTGACGTGCGAAAAGACAGGACTTTTGGCTGAAAATTGATCGATATCGCAAGTTTTTCTCTCTGAAGAAAACATGAATTCCAATCGAGAGAATGAAAAAGTTTACTTTCTTCAAGGTATTTCCTTGATATATAAAAAACCAATTACGAAATTTCTCGTTTATTTATCAAAGCTCAAGCGCGCAAAGACTGGTCACGAGTTTTCTCTTATAATATATATATACAGGGTGTCCCAGACCACCCATCTCACCCGATTTTTTCGTAAACGCGACATTTTAAAGAAAAATGTTTCAGACAAAAGTTTTGTGACATCGAGGGGCACATAAGATGGTGTCATTGGTTTGACCTTGGATAGTCGTTTGAAGATCACATGAAGGTCACCTTTAATTTCTTAAATGGAAACCCCCATTTTTCAATGCATATTCTTGTAGCTTACCTCGAGACCTTTCCAAAACGCTATAATGAAATGTTTTTTTAATCAGTACTTTTCGAGTTATGAGGATTGGAAGTTACGGTACCGCCGGCATTAGCATTACCCAAGGTGGAGGTTGCACGGTCGGATTTACACCTCTTTGTGTGTTTGTGTGTTTGTGTGTGTGAATGTGTGTGTGTCAACTTGTTTTCATGGAAAATTCGCCAGATCGTGCTGCGACTAATTCCAGAATCTCTTTCTGTACGTCTTAATGAATGGCAGGGATGCAATTGAGCGGATGCAAGAATCTCCGGCATCCTTTCATCTCTAACTTGGCGTCGAATTTGTCTACCTTTATTGTGATCCGGTTGAAGAATACCTTTATTGGTAATTCGGTTAGCTAAGCGAGAAAAAACTTTGTACGAATGAGGAGCGCGATCTGGGTATCGTTCTCGCCACAATCTTGCAGCTGCTCTAAATTGATCATCACATTCACCTAAAATAAGCATCATATCACAAGCTTCCGCGTTTGAATACGACATGGCTGGTAAATGAGAATTTTGTTACACCTTACGTGACAGTATCAGACATGTCATACATCACGACTGGGTAATGCTAATGCCGGCGGTACCGTAACTTTCAATCCTCATAACTCGAAAAGTACTGATTAAAAAAATATTTCATTATAGCGTTTTGGAAAGCTCTCGAGGTAAGCTACAAGAATATGCATTGAAAAATGGGGGTTTCCATTTAAGAAATTAAAGGTGACCTTCACGTGATCTTCAAACGACTATCCAAGGTCAAACCAATGACACCATCTTATGTGCCCCTCGAAGTCACAAAACTTTTGTCTGAAACATTTTTCTTTAAAATGTCGCGTTTACGAAAAAATCAGGTGAGACGGGTGGTCTGGGACACCCTGTATATATACATGCACAGGGTAAACCATTTTGTTCAATATATGCGAATATCTCCAAAAAGAGAAGTTTTTTTCAAAAAAATGTTTCAAACAAAAATTTTATGGCTTCGAGGAGGAAGATGACGGCATTATCAATTTAATCGTGAAAGATGGCAAGATTTCATCATTCATGTTTTTCAAATGGAAGTCGATTTTTCTCGAAATAAAACTTGTAGCTGGCAATGAATACATTTTTTTTTTATTGGATCATTTTTCACCGAGTTGCAGCACATTCCAAAGTTTATATATAATGAATTTATACGTAATTTTTATTGCCGTTAAAACGACCAATATATCGTTCTCGTCATACCGTACATCATACGCACAAGAAGCAATAGCCCAAGTCGTCAAGTCACCCTTAATGAGAAATGAAAAGGGAAAATCTCAACTTGTATTTTGAGAACTTGGAAAAACGAGAAAATCTCGCGATTAGTCTTTTATATGTTAATATTTCTCTCTTCATGATAACTTGATATTTCTTAATATAATAAAAAGGGAAGCTTACCGTTTCCTTCCAACCGTTTTAACTTTTGCGCCGTTGGCACGTATACATTTCTTACCATGCCAAATAGAAATCCCATGATGATTACAGCAAATATGATCCACCAGTTGATAATGAGCACTTGCACCAAAATTCCTATCATAACCGCGAATATTTGAATGGCTTCTATCATGGCTCTAGGCATGGATTCGTCCACGGCACCGATGTCCTTCGAGAAACGATTCAGAATTCGACCTGAAAAGAGAATACAGTTGCGCGTTAAGGAGTAGTACTCTCGCTGTTACGCTGTCTTCCTTGTTTAATGTTACGTAAGATGCAAGAAAACGCATGCCAAAATTTTTGCGTTATACTTTCAAATAAAACGATGTATCCACAAAATATGACATTTCTGTGATCGATTCAGCAAATTTATAAAATTAGACGAATACTCTTTTCTTTTATTCGAACGATCAATAAGTAGTTGGAAAATTAATTTAATTTTAATTAATTTTGGTAAGCTTAGTTTTGTGATTATTACTTCTGATTGGTACATTGTTCCTAGATTTGCAGAGGATCTAAAAGAATACTCCAATCATATACAATAATTACAAAACGTTTAGTAAACTACCTTTTCTGCTGTTGAACGCAGGCAATGTTTTGATAGCTGTAAACGATACGCGTGGAGCAATGCGACAGCCAATCGCGGAAAAGAGGCGTCAATGTTTCAATTCGAGCTTTTACGCCTTTTTTACCAGAAACAGTTTGATAATGCGAACATAGGAAGAAAATGTTCGCTGTCACACATATATGTGACTTTCTCGTGAGAAATTATTGCGTTGGTGCAGCGAATGTGTTCGCGAGCGTGCTTACCAGCAGGATTATTATCGAAGAATGACATTGGCGCCTTGAGCAAACACGAGAACATCAAGTTGTGTAGATTCTTGCTGGCGTTCATGCATATCCGATAGAAGATCAGATTGCGCGACGTTGTCATGACGATACTCATGACGATGAACATTCCGTAAATCCACAAGGCTGTATCCGGATTGTAGTAGTACGTATCCCTATCTATAATTTTGGTCTAAATGAAGTAAGAAATGAGTGATGATAGCATGATCGTGTCACAAAGTAATGGAATAGGAGGTACTACTAACGGCATTGTTAACTGAAGTGAGGTTTTGCGTGTCATCTGTTGAATAGTTTGTTTGCGTCATAGCGGTCGTTGAGAAATCGCCAAGTTCGTCATACAGTTTGTTGTCTATTTGTCTGCTCGATGCCGAGGGGATTGCAAAGCTGTCGTTCATCAGACCTTCCTTGCGCATCGCCTTGATGCGCAACTCCTCTTGTTTCGTCCTGTATCGTGAGATTTATTTAAGATTCTTGCGTTTAATGACATCAGAAGCGAGAGGAGCCAATAAGAGCTCAAAATTTTTACGAAATACAAGTTGAAGTGATGAAAAGAAATAAAATGAGAATTTTGGTCGATCGAGCACATTTGTAAAAATATTTGGAAAAGTTTCTTACCAAAAAGAAAAGTTGCATGTCATGTTAAAGAGGTTGTCAAGCAAAATGAATTTGATGATGAATTAAGAGAAATTACGTATGTATTGAAATATAATATTATCCAACTACTCGTGCAAAATTAGAGAAAGACTGTTCAGGAGCTGAGAACTAAAGTCGAGACGCTTCACGACACAGCCTTACAACCTCAACTTTATCTATTGATTGCTGTTAGAGTAGGAAAGAATATTTTGCAAATGTGCTCGATCGATCACATTTTATGGATATATCCTTTTAACATATTTTGTAAGATTTTTTGTTCGGTCCTAACGTTATCCAAAAAAAAAAAAAAAAAAAAAAACGCGAGATCTTAATATTAATCGTAGTCATGTGTTTAATATCGTCCTAGAATTATTTAACATCAATTTGTAGGAGTAAAATCTCCTGGGAAAAGCTTACCAATAGCCGACCCAATAGTCACAGCCGCTGCTACCGATTTGCCCCACGATTGTGAGAAAGAAGAAAATAATAATCGCGACGATTGAGTCGCCGCTGCGCAAATACTTCCAATACACTGATCTCGACATGCTTCCTTTGGCTAAGAGCTCTTCGGTCTCTCGAGGCTCCTCTTTTTCCGTGTCTTCCGCGTCGATGATGCTATTCAGAGTTGTTGCTTCGAGTGTTGGATTCAAATCAACTTTTGCCATTTCCGTACCCTCCGTAGTGGTTTCTTTTCGCGCTAATATTTCGAGGAAGTTCGTGTGATTCTCTTGAAGGCCCGCGAACGTGCCCTCATCCTCGATTTGGCCCTTTTAAAATAGTTCACATAGTTAATTTTCGCACGTTCTACAACTATTTCATATTATTACTAAACTAGTAGTATAACAATATGCAATAAAATATAAATAAAAAATATATATAAATAATATATGGTAATAGTAAACTTTCGTTTTTGATTGATCTATACTTTTCATCAAATCTGAAAGTATGCACGATCCAAGAACTTATTATTAAGAGTTCAGTAAACGATAGTGCCTATTGTACTACTGTTACGAACAACTGTGACGTTTTACATACGTTATTCAAAATGATGATGTAATCGCATTGCTTTAGATATTGTAATTGATGAGTAACGAGGATTCTCGTTTTATCTCGTAAATAGTCACTTATACACTCGTCGAACAAATGCCTGCCAACGTGCGTATCAACGGCCGATAAAGGATCATCGAATAGATAGATGTCAGTGTTTCTGTAGATGGATCTGTATAAGATAATAAAAAATAGATGCAAATATTAAAATTAATAGAAAAATAAGAATCGGTGGTATCGACAATAGAAATACTTAGTTCCCCTCCTCGCCGGTTAATCCAACCCATCTTCTTTTCCTGAATAAAAGTTATAACTGTTTATACAAATTCGAAATTACGCCGAGAAATAACAATTTTACCTGACGAAGAAATAAAAGTACAACTTTTGTTAACGAGGAAAGGATGAGTCCTTCCGTTAGCTATCCATCGCAGCTATCGAAAGTATGACTGAAAAATCACTTGTATATCATCATTCTTACATCAAACTATATATCCTTCCGATTGAGAATAGAGAATTGAAGTTTTTCAAGCTTCTTTCGTTCATTCAATTTTTTAATAAACAATGAGCGACGGCTAAAACTTGAACCTTACTCAGGAGCCCTATGCATCAGGGCCAAAGTCATCGGATCTCCTATTGCCGATATTTACGAAAAATGTTATAGCGAAAGCCATTATAGCATTTTATAACCAAAGGAAAAATATTAACGCCTCCCTGTCCTCATTTATTATGCCCCCCGCTTCTATATCTTTTATTTATGGAATTTTTAAGTCTATTGTTAAAACATTTATTATATGTTTCTTAGCAAAGTAAAAGTCTATTTATTCGTACACTCCTTGGAGAAATGATATAAAATTGAAGAAAATTTAGAAAAAAAAAAGGAAAGATAAAATATTCTCTATCTGTTAGACAGATAGACGTCTACGAACGTTCAAGTAGGTATGTACACCTTATGTTACACCTTAATGTTATAATATTAGGATTATTTGTATGTTCAAGTTATTACTTGAATCAAGTTATTACTTGATTTTCAGAGCATTACACGTGTTGTACGTATAAGATTGAAACCATAAGGAAATGTTATAAGGCATATTGTGTGAGGCACTTGAGAATGTCAGTCTGAATCTATCTCAAGATTTACCTTGCCAAATTAATTCTCGCGCGTTGTCCACCGCTGAGCGCTGTGCCTCTATCACCAACCAAGGTCTTATCGCCATACGGTAGTTGTTTGAAATCCTTCGTTAGGGCACACACTTGAACGATCTTCTGATACTTGTCTTTATCATAAGTCTGCCCAAACAAGATATTATTTCGCACCGAGCCTGCGAATAACCAAGTTTCTTGACTCACGTACGATATCCTGCCGTTTACATGTACCTGGCCGTGCGATGGCTTTAGTTCGCCTAAAATTGCTTGTAGAAAAGAGCTCTGAAAATATGAAAGTATGATGCATGACATATTTTACTTCAAATATTTGACTTCGCGAGTAAAAGTCTATTTATTCGTACACTCCTTGGAGAAATGATATAAAATTGAAGAAAATTTAGAAAAAAAAAGGAAAGATAAAATATTCTCTATCCGTTAGACAGATAGACTGATACTTGTGGATCAGCGCAATGAGCAGAACTTGAGCAGAATCTGAGCTTTTCTTGCCGCGAAGATTCATTAGATATCGCGCTCTTGTTTACAACATACTACGATGATCCTCTAAACGTTATATAACTACTACTAATACGCGTCACGTAATGTTCTTTTTCTTGCACATATAATTTGGCTACATTGATCGTACATATAGATCTTACGTAAACGCGATATAAGTGCGATGAATGTGCATTTTGCTATTCTGTCTTACTGTAATCTGATGAGAAAATCTAACGTATGTAAAAAAAATTCATTTTTACCAACTTTTCTTTTCTCTAATTTAATTGAGAAAAATACAAGTGTTCTTTGAAATTTTCCTGGTTAGAACATATACGTACAACAGCAAGCATTTCTATATCAGGTATAAATATTTACGCTGACCGTAGAGATGTTAATTTTGAAATTTTTCCTCGTTTTCGTCACACGTTATCGAGCAATGCTTCAATTTAATTTCGCGCACGTATTATCCAAAAATCACTTATCATTCTGCTCAGCCGACATGAACTGAAAGAAAGTCGGTATTTTGCTTTCAACTCCCTTTAAGAGCAGTCAGTTCGCTGGGTCGCAAAACTAAGCAATAAAAAATATAACGAAGGCTTATCCATCTATACCTTTCCAGCGCCAACGGCACCGACGATGGCGTATAGTTTGCCGGCTTCGATTTGGATGTTAATATTATGCAATGTATTTACAATCGCGTTACTCGTCCACGAAGCGCTGACACCTTTCATCGCAATGCTCGCTTCTTTGTTGCTCAACAATGAATGCGCCGACGGCACGTTTTCGTCCAACAACAGGAAATTCTGGATTGGGGTCATAGGAAAAGTTACACAGGCGTTGCTGCTATTAGAATGACATTTCGATAAAATGATTTCAACAAAATATACTTCGTATAAACAACTGTTGGAATATCCGGAGGAGAATATTCTGCTAAATATATAAATAAAAATGTTGAAAATTATATTTCAACGTAAGAGAGGTCTTATTTGCTGCCACAAATAGCGTTTTCATCATATCGATTCCTGTATAATTGGAACTCAATAACGCGTAATCGACCAAAGTCACGTACACGTAATGCACAGATATTTAGTGGCTATCTATCGTAATTTGGTTATTTTCCATTATGTCAAGAATGATATCTGGATTCACATTATATCGCGTCAAAATATTATAGATGTGAGTTACTTTCTGTCTTATTCTTTCCTCGACCCGATGGACACCGTCGTTTTGGTGCGGTCATTAATATCGTTACTTCAGATAGTATTTTATCATTCTGCGTATTAATATCTACAGATGACTGGAATGTAAGATATACACTGGAAGTCGTCCCCTTTCTTCATTTTGAGTGTGTTATTATGAACTACCCTTTTTATCCGTTCGCGATAAAAGAGTAATGATACTTTTCGATAACTGCATTGAGGTATTTTAAACAACAATTGCGCACAACTGTACATAAATTTTGTTGTGACACTCGTTTCCTTACCTCGATACGTTTTATAGATACCGCTGCTTCGGCGGCAGAGGCAACGGCTATAGGGTAGAATATCGCCATCGTGGCTTGAAGAATATTAAAGTATTGCGCCATGGAGAATACTTTATCCGCTGATATACTGTGCCCGGTAAATACATACGCCATGATCGTAAAGTACAACGTTGTTCTTTCCGTGAACACAAAGGTGGCAAGTGTGAAACCTCTCAGGTATGATGTTAATGTGAGGACGTCGACCTCGTATCTATATGGGAAACGGGATTATTAGCGAATAAAATTGCTCCTCTATGACCGATATTAGTGAAAGAACAAGATGTACAAACTTTCGGGCGCGGCTAACCAGTTCCTGAAACGGCTTCTCCCAAGTGTAAATTTTGATAACTTGTATGCCATTGATTATCTCGGACATCAGGCGAATTCTCTCGTCGGTTTTCACGGCAATTTTTAAACGCAACTTCGATGTCCACTTGCTGATGTATCCTGTGAAATGTTCCCGCTTAACCACGATGGTTATATCCGTAACTTTATGCTCGTCCTAACCGTACCTTGAACGGGAATAGTCTGAATAGTTATGAGAAATACGCCGGCTAACGAAGCGATGCCAACATTTTGCCAGATGAGAAATGCTATTATGCTTCCTTGTATGGGCATTATCCAAATATAGTGAAGCATTATAAACAGCTGGTCAAATCTCGACATATCGTTCGACAAGAGATTAATTATTTGACCCGGGGTGATGGTAGTGGAAGATTTTGATAAGCGTAGTAACTAAAAGAAAACAAAAAAAGGAAAACAACTGAATAAATAAAAGATTCATCTTTTTTTTATATAGCACAGACGATATGTGAAATAATTTTACGTAAAAAGAAAAAAATCAGATGTATCGACTTGACGAATTAAATTATGATATCTAATTGCGAAATTACCTTTCTGTACATTAACGAGGAACTTGCTATCCTCATCCGCATTCCTATTTCCAATAAGCCTAGTTGCGAGTGATGTGTGATAAAAGCCATCAATATCGCTGCAATTATCACACCAGATGCATAGAGATACGCTTCGGTTGGCGAAGAGCTAGCTCTTGGATCGAAATGCCAAATAAGTAGGCCCAATACGTAGGGCTGTAGCACTCTATAAGAAAAAAATATTACTCAGTGATGAATGATATGGGGGGGGGGGGGNGTTTTACCTCAGGACAGTACACAAAAATAAATACCATCCTCCGTAATATAGAAACGACCAAAGAAACGTTTTTCTCAGAGCCATGAAAAATTTGGGTTTTTTGCCATTTTTCTCGGCTGTGTGTACTTCATTTTTCCAATTTCTAAAAACATTTATAAGGTGAGACAATTATCAGTTGAATCAATTATTGCCACTCTTTATTAACAATTGTACACACACACACACACACGTGTGTGTGTCCCAGAACTCAATAGATAAATTTCGTGAGCACGTAGAATGAGATGAACAAAAAAGGCCCAGGTTGATGCGAAAACGTCTATGCTTTGAGAACTTTCTACTAAACCTAATATATATATGAAGGATGTCGCAAACTGTGTTTGGTAGTTCACGTAGTGTGCAGCATCGATTGATTTCTAAAGGTAGAGTGATATAGCGAGCAGCATGTGACACACAGGATTGTGCATTGAAAAGAAACACACTTCTCTCGCTATCAGTTGATATCTATTGTTGCTGGAAGATCTTGAGAGGTAAGCTATTTTTCTTTATACAATGTTCATCGTTCTACCTTTCTTCGTACGTTCATTAGCTCAAACAAAATTATTAATTCCTTACTAACTGTTGCGAATTTTGCAAAATAGTACATAACATTTCTGCTTCGCCCGTTCTGTACACCACAGGAACCGATGTTTTGGGATATCCCATATATTCTAAATTCGTATTATTAAGTGTTTTAATGTGTTTGATGATAGAACAACAACTTATTTACTGTTCCAGTTTGTTTCCCAGAAGTTCACTAACGTCATCCGGCATAATATTATATATATTTTTCATTTCCAAATCATGATTTCTTCCGTACCAGAATAAACTGAATAACCAGCTGAAACATGTTATTAATTAATTAATAAATTTGCGAAATTAAACAATTTCTAATAACTTCCTGCTTTGTAAGTATTTTTATTCGAATTCCCAGATGAACATAACTAAATTTTAGATCCAATTTAAAATAAATCCACTTATTGTGTGGAGGTTTTTTTTTTAATGTTTTATACTCATATAATTTCGAATAAAAAAGGATTAATCCTTTCAGAAAAGTATTACTGGCTAGTCGGTATAATAAATTAATATATCCCAGTAATTTTATCACAAGTATCTAACGATTTTGAGTTTTTAAATTACAGATATATTAATAATGTAGAGTAATTAAGTAATGACGACAGTTAATAGTGATCTATTACACAACTCTAGCGAGTAATTACTGGTGTCAAGAAATTGTGTTTTCCCACTTGTCAAATATTATAAATTAATATTATAAATAATATCATAAGTGTATTCTGTAAGTAACATCCTGCTTTTTTAACAAAAATAATAAAAAACTTTTGATAATGAGAAAAATATGTATACATTTTCTCATGATTAATATGAATTGTTTTATAACAATTGTTTGTGTTTCAAAGTAACTTATTATTATTTACTTTGAAATTCACTATCTAATCTGTAATTAAAAATCTAAAAACAATAATGGCATTATTCGTCAGTTTGCGAGTATGTATATATATATATATATATATATGTTTTCAACAACATATGGTATATTATATAATGTTTCTGAACGATATAAGAATATATTATACCACATTTAAGTAACGCTATATAACGCAGAAACTTATTCTTAAACACTTTATATTTTTAGAACGTCTATAAGTCAACCAGTGACTTTGCTTATGTCCGACCTCGTGACACGCGATGTATGGACGGCGTTCGACTTACCCGAAAATCAATTTGCTCAATAGATTCGCGGATATCCGAGGATTCGGGTTGTTGAATTTCTTACTGACGTTCATCTTTTTTCACGCGGCACCACACGACGTGACGACCGGATTGTGTATCAGAATCAACTACTCCACTGGTACTGAGAAAGCTATGTTCGTGCTGTAATTGTGTCAAGTTCGTATGTGTGGTGGCGCACGCAACATGTTTCTCCGAAGGAGAATTCGAATAATTTATCGAGTTATTTCATACACCAAAATGATTTGGCGTATCGAGTCTCTTATTTGTCGACAAATGAAGGGGCAATTCGCCAAAGATGCGAGAGGGGATAGTGAGATTGACAATTGAAGTGACGAAGAATGTATAGACGTGTTATATAAGAGTCAGCTGCAATTCGTTATATCAGATATTTTTTGCTTACATCAGATAGTTTTCTCTACTACTGTATATTCGAAATTTGATTTTAATACTTTTTTTTCAATTTTGAACATAGTCATATAAAGAATTTGTTTTTGAATAATTACCAAAAGTTAAATTATTGAATCACCGACTGCGTTATGTCGCGTTGAGTCGAGAACAACAACAATGTTGAGGAATCGTGTTAAAATCCACTGAGATATTTCAGTAGGACTAATTGAAAAATGCCAAACATGTACACATATAAATATTTTTTAAGATTACACATACATACACATACGCAACTGCTATATGCGTATGTTATCATTCTTTGAACTTGGTATTATTACATCTTCATGTTTTTGCATAATATCTTTTCGTAAATAGATATTTTGCATTGTCAAAACGAATAAATTGAATGGGAAACAAATCAGATTAGTTTGTCCGAATTTCTTAAACTTTTTTACACAAGTGTTTCTATATATGTATGATTTACTTTTACGATTTGAAGCACAAATTCATAATCTCGATCGCCTTTACCTTCGAATCTCTTTTCAGATTTATTCGCGGAAAAGTGGGGGCGCTGAGAGTTTCGAGAAAGATGGCGCAGCCGACACAGACGCCGCGAGTATTGTTTATATTTACAGGTCGATAGGTGTGTTTGTACATATACTTCGTTTTGCAAATTATAATCGTTTAACTTGAAATTGTTTTTCTGTGTGAATCTCTCGTCCCGAGTTGTTATATTCATCAGTGGGAATTTCACACGGATACAATATATCGCATATATGAGCCATAAATATAAAAATAACGTACGTACAATTCAATAAGGCTCTTATAGGCGTTAGTCAATAATCCGCTCAACATAATGGCATTTTCATTCCGAGTCGGCACCAATTGGTGCCACGACTTTCCGAAATTAGCCAGGGACTCGGGGTTTTACTTTAACATGCATGGATCTAGAGTACGAGTGGATTGGAATCGTATAAGTACGTGTTGATGTTACCACACGATGTAATGCAAAGCGAGTTTCAATCATCGCGTTAATCACTAATAGATTTTTTTTTCTCTTTATTGCAGGTGCTATAGACATAGACCGAGTGATGCGTGAACGAGATTTCTCAACCATCGATGAGAACATTAACAACGTAATAGATTATTGCTTGGAAAATGAATATGACGTCAAGATTTTAGATTCTAACTTTGTCAAATTATTTAGACTAGCGCAACTGTCAGTGGAATATTTATTATATTGTAAACAATACTTAGATCACAGTGTAATAATATTAAAGGATGAGTTGAGACTAAAAATAGAACAAAATGTTGGCATGAAAAAGGAAATTACTACTTTAGAAGAAACCATAAGAAACCTGAAAGAGAAATCAAAGGAGAGGTCTAATAAATTAATTGAAGCCAGAATTGGTGATTCCACTGGAGAAATTTACAAGGTAAGATGCATAGTATTTGTGTATAATTGAGACATATATATGTATATTCATAATTCATAATTTATAGTCAACAATATATATATATATATAACAATATATATATATATATATATATTGTTGACTATAAATTATGAATTTGCAACACCTAACATTTAATTGCAAACGCCTTATACCAGTGCCCACATTGTCCGAAAACTTTTGTATCTGCTCTCTTCGTAAATGCTCATGTAGCACGTCGACATTTATACATATCAGACACGTCTACCTCTCCTCCTATGCACGAACATTATCGAGCAGAGACTGAAAAATTGCACAATGAGATAAAAACTTTGAAAGAGAGGCTCAATCAGACTGAGAGAGTAATAATGAATGAATCCGATAAATTGCTGGGCAATACGGACAGAAACTATATCAGGAATATGAGCAAAAATGAATATAAAGTTGTTACAACTGACTCGAAACAAGAGCAAAAAAAATATGAAGAAGATATCAGCAGTTTGAAGAACATGTTGTTCAATGAGATACGTGTAAGTTATATATATCTATAACTTTATATAGTTTTTTTTGTGTTTATTCTAAATTATAATAAGTAATCAATTTATTTACAGGCATTAAAAGAAAAAGAGCAGAATATAAACGAGAGTATCTTGGAAGCGAATGTGAAAACTTTCATTAGTCAGCAAGAAAAAGAGATTGAAAGTCTGAGAAGCCAACTTCTCGAAAGAGTAAGAATACAAATCTTTGTATACATATTTCTTTGAGACAAGAAGACAACTGCTACATTCATGTGAAATTATTTTCCAGTTGACTCCGAGTATAGAAAATATGCAGGTGAAATTGCAAACACAAGAGGATTATTGGAAGGCGAAACTGGAAGATATGGAAGCTCAGCATCACAGGGATATTGAAAAATTAACCACGGAATTGAAAGTGACTCAACAAGCGACTGATCGTACGAAGACTGAATATGCGTCCAAAGTGCACGACTTGGAGAGACTGTCTATGAATCAATCGAACATGCTGGTGGAACAAGGGAAGCAATTGAACAGCTTGTCACGCGAGATCAGTAATTCGCAGATACAAAATAATGACAAAACCGGAGAAAAAGTGGTGGAAAAATTTTACGAATCACCTGTGTTAGAAATAAAACGTGATAATATGGGTGATAACGAAAGTTACCGTAAGAACTTAAGCAGTACAGTAAATGGCGAGATGGTTATCAAAGACATCGAGTCCAGTCGAGAATATAGCGACACATCTAATAACAAAGATGTTGCGAATAGCCGAGATATCAGAAGGTCGATCATCAATCTTGGTAGAATTGCCGAACGTGCAAAATCCAATTCGAAAAATCTGCAGAGGTTAGAGACTATCAGAAGAACAAGAGACAAAGCGAAGTATGATATATCCAGAGAAATGGACGAAACGCAAAACCATTCAAATAGAAGTTTCAGTAGTAAAGATTCAGAAGATTTTCCTAAAAAGCATAACGTCGGAAGAATAAGAATACTGCATATGGATGATATAAGAAACAGTGAGAAATCTGAAGAATTTCTGGAGAAACATAGCGTGAGTTCCACGACGGAGTCGTCGTCAGACAACGTTACGATAAACGACGACGACGACATTACGACGATGAAACAATACGAGATGAAGATCGTGGTGCAGTCTCCTGACATAAGATCATCGTTGCAGAAAAACGCTCGCAATATGTTCGATAACCGACTGAAAGATTTAGGAATTGATCCGGAGTGGCAAGGTATACCTGCGGCAACGTTTAAACAGAAAATGGATATTGTGAAACATCAGCAGAATATTAATGCGAAGAAATTGGCGCAATATAATCGAATTAAACAGAAGATACTCGAGAACGTTCTTCGAAGGATATCGGGACAAACTGTGAACATGAAGTCCCCATTACACAAACTAGTCACACACGTTAGATCGAAGGCCGTGAAAGCGCTCAGCAGCCATATAGATAGTGGTAATTATCAGGATTTATAACTATAAATTATATAATTATAAATAATTATTATATTTTTCTTTTACGTATAATTTTGATTATATGTAGTTTACTTTCCTGCAAGAGACAAAAGTGACGCGTAACGATTAGGTGAAATAGTCCATAATTTATTATCCAACGTCATCGGTTACACTGTTCCCTGATATTGCTCTCATTGGCCGGATCATCTATTACCTTCATTGGTCGGATCGTCCGCTGATCTTGCCTTGCTGATTGGCCGGAATGTGTTTTAAAATAAAATCTTTGAGCGCTATTTTGCATCTGTTACAGGTTTAGCCAAAAATTACCAGGAAAAAAATTTCCTTATTCCCCCTATAGTATCTGCAATAAAACATAGGTGCATCGAAAGAAATCAATCTAGGCCCTTATTGGGCTTAAAACTTAAGTAGCTCAGCTAGTGGTCCTTTTCAAACTTTACAATCCTTTTATTAGAAACGTTTTTTTTTTTTCGAAAATGCATTGTTTTCAGATATTTTGGTGTCTAAGTTAAACAGTGAAACATTCGGTATAATTATTATATCTAAAAATACTACAAGTTATTATTATTTTCAATATTTAGCATTTTTAGTTTTACAAAATATTATATTTCATTTTCTGATGTAACTTCTTTTTTTCCCCCTTTCAGATGAATACGTTCGGGGAACGGGAAACACATCAAAGTTGCATCTAAAGCAGAAGATCGAGCTCCTCCCTAGAAAATATAAGGACGAAGAGACGTTTGAGGATACGACGAATCCGTTAATAAGAAACAGGCCGGATATTTACACTAGCCCGAAAGTAACACAACCGAGATTAATCGCTAATCGTTATAGAAGCGCGTATCGGAATATTTCTTCCGCCGAAAGTTCTCTCGAAAGTTCGCCAAAGAATATCAGAAAACAGATCTCGTGTACGAAGATAACGGTGTTGGATAACAGCGCGCGCAAAATAGACTCTCCGATCGGCAGGAAGGAACGGAAAATTTCGGAAGCATCGTCGAAGCTTCCGTCGGAATACGAGTCGGACAGTACGAACATCGTCGTGCAGCATGAAGATTCAGTCGTATCACCGAAGAATAATAAAAGCGTCCTAAAATCAACGAGCGGCTCGGTTAGCAGCTTGATTAAAAAGAAAGTCATATTCGATTTAGAAGATGGCGAGACAACAACTCTGCTAGGAAATAATCCCGTCAAAGAAAGCCAAGTTAATAACAGCGACTGGAACAACATCTCAAACTTCTTCGAGACGAGAAACTGTATACTGCAGAAAGAAAAGTCCATGAGTACAGGTAGCATCATACTGAAAACTTCGCAGAGTGACAAAATTGCCGAAATCTCGAAGAAGATACAGGAACAGGTGAAGGCTAGGTGAATTCTAAATATGAATAGAGAAGCGAACAGGATTGATTCGATTAGCTATCTGAATCACATAACCAGACGTCATTTTTATATTTTATTATTTATTGATTGATTATTTGAATGAAAGAAATAGATGAAACGGCAGCTTGATGAAATGACAGCTAAAAGCACATTTCTATTTCTGGTCCGACCAGGGTTTTTCAATTTTTCGTTTCATTTGTTTCTTTAATTTAAGTAATGAAACAACTCAATAAATAATTAACTATTAATATGAAATATTAAAAATTTACGCATTTATTTGACAATTCTCGGAAGAAACTAAATATTTTTCAATTCGGAGGATTGAAAAAAAAAATTGTCATTCTCACTTTCCACACTCCCTCAAGATCAGTGCAATAATAATTATCATTAAGATAATCATTTCGAATTCTCTTTCAGTTGAGCATAGTGAGGAAACCGCCGCCTGTGGGATCAGTTGAAACAATCTTCCGATCGAACTGGCAGGACTTGACTGACTATAGTGCAGAGAATCAGTTGTTAAATTCAACCAGTCTCCCGAATACAATTGCGGAAAGTCCTGTAAAAAGCTTCACGAGTCCAAAGATGAAAAATAACACGCTATTTTCACAACTCATCCCGCAAACTCTGAAAGATAAAGATCTCATTGTAGTTCAGCGCAAAAATGAATTGTCTTCGTTAAAGCATTCCGATTTAGATTCAGATATCGACGAAATATTACAGATGGAATGAGAAAATTGTATTTTATTAGTTATACGCGCTCGTGCGCGTATGTGTGCGCGCGCGAGCGTGTGAAATCTCTGTTTTAATTGCATTTTCTGCGTTTTCTTTCTTTCCTCTATTCTAAAAAACCTGAATGTATATACAACTTTACTAAATAACTGTAACTGTAAGTGTAGAAAATATAAGAAAAAGAGAAGTCGAATTAATAATAATAATAAATAATTATATTGGGTAAGTGTAAAAGATGGATTTATGATAGAAAAATGGATTAAGTAATTTTTATTACAAATGATTTGTTTATTCCATCAAACAATTGTCAGTTTTTTTTCCTTTTTTTTTATCATGTTTACATGACAATCTAAAGCCGATTTAGTAATTTTCCGACGTTATAACGACGACTGTGTTAATGTCGTATAATGTTTTACACCGATGTTATAACATCAGTTGTATTTTTGTAATAATTCCATATTTAAACATAAATTTATGATCAAAACTATAATATTGCTTCGTATAAATGTGGAATTTCTTTGTAAATTTAGATTTATGATTTACATACAGGTGAGTTGGATTGAGCTAAATTAACGAAACACATATCTTAAATATATTTGATTCTAAATAATCAAATACTAAGTGTTACACATAAAACATTGTTGGTATCTGTCGTTACAATTCTTTAAGTACAATTCAAAATATGTTTCAGCAATCGGTCAATATTTTTTCTACCATAAACCTTTTGCATGTATATTTTACTAGATCATAAGACGAAAGAAATACGTCGGTTGTTAATACACTGACGTATAACACGTTTCTAGTTTGGAGATACTTGTATTAGATTTTCGCGAAATAGTTACAATCTCAGGCATAGCCCCCATAAGAAGTTAGGAAGCTCTAGAAATGTCAATGTAAGAGACCGACACTGCCGTTCAATGTTAGAACTTAAATGTGTCAGTTTTCGTCGATAAGAGTGGATAACACAATAATAACTGATCAATAGTGGGTAAGTTAAATTTCTTAAAGTCGGTAAAATACCAGGGGTCGATAAATTCCCGATGAGCAGTAATTTGTCAGGAATTGATAAGTTTCGAAGGTCGATATGCTTCCGGGGATCGGTAAGTTACCAGAGTTGATAAGTTTCCAGGGGCGGTAAGCCTCTTTATTGCGCATCACGGAGGTAAGTGAAGTTCAAGGCCTGCAATTTTTGGATAGACCCAAGTAAGGATGGTACTTCATATTTACCCATTACATATGAACTACACTGTATTCTCGAAGCAGTAGATGTCAATGAGTTTGATTTGCGTTGGATACGAAGATCTAAGTACTTTGTGTAATCTCATAAATCTCAAGTGGCTTAGCATCAAGAATTGCAAAAATATCGACTACTGGGGCTTAGACGAAATATCAGCAGAGCTTCCGGAGTTACTTGACATCTCAGGCTGTGAAAAAATCACTGAGAGAGGATTGGAGGCACCTTATATAATGTTCAATCAGAAGAAATTGATTGTTACAAATTGCAACAAATCTGCTGCGTCAGAGCTAACTTGTATGATGTTAGAAGGTTGTATGTCTGGCTTGACTTGTGAGAATCTGTGGAAATATCAAAAAAGTAATGTTAATTGAGAGTCACTTTTAGTAAGATTACAATTTGCAGTAAATATTTCGCAGAAAGACTCACCTCTATTTATATATATTATATACTATTTGTGTCATTTCAACTTCGCTGTAAATCAACTATTATTACTTGAATATTAAATAAAACATTAGGTAGTAAAAAGTAACACAAGTAAGTAGTAAAAGTAATTTTTTTTCAAGATATTAACTTCTTACCAATTTATTTTACTTTCGATGTTTCTTCATAAAATGTAATTCAGCTGAATTTATAATATCATGTATCAAATCATTTTCATTGTTACAAACAAATTTAATATGTACTAAAAAAGATGATATTTCATCCAAATGTGCTTGCAATTTATTACCTCCTGCACGTTTTCTTTTACAAAAGATAAACATATGTGTCGCTTTATACTCTTCTTAAGATCAAGAACTGTCGTATCATGTGGTGAAAGCCATGGTGAAGCAAAAATTATATATATTATAAAATAATATATTAGGAAGATTGATCAATTCAAACAGACCAAGATATATTTCATAAAATCATAAATTATTATAAAGATCATTACCACAACTACAAGTGTTGGCAATTCTACGTGATTTAAGAATAAGGTTGGAGTTTGTCCTTGTGCAAATGCAATTTGTGATGTCAAAGTTCTTTCATCATAACAATTGAGGATAATCCAAAGCGAAGTGCATCAATAACATTGTCAATTGCTACCTTAGTCAGTCCTATCAATTCTTGATGACTTATTCGTGTATAGTTTCAGACCTTGCTTTATCAGGATACAATTCTTGTCAAGTATCTCTTATTGCATCCTATAATTATGAGTTTTCCGCAATATTATAAGGTTTACGATGCTTATTTATTTATCTCTGTTTCCCAGGTAAAATATTTTAGGTATGTTAACAAAGTTATTCACTGTCTTTTAACACATTGACAGCCGGCGACCTAAGAGACATTTAAAGCCTGAGCGCCGGCCTTATTCGCTTGTTTCTGATCACTGAATAGCCAAAAGAAATATTTAAAACATTATATATTTTCGTAAAATAGTACATTTTATTTGCATATTCGTCACATACAATTTAACGGTAATGAAAAATATAAACAAAATTGAAATTTTTAATTTATAATTATAAAAAAATACAGTTTCTCATTTCATGGTGGATTATTACATATATATAACGTAAACAGAAAACAAAAGTATTAATATTTAAGGCAAGTTTGGTATTTCTCGAAATATTGTCCAAGATGTAAAAGTACTAAGCATTCAGCACACATAAAGTTACTCTCGCTTCTTTTTACTATCGCAGCTACTCAAGCGTCAGACTCAGAAATTCGCGCTTTCGCGGGGCTGGCGCTCAAGCGACAGACTCAGAAACCCGCGTTTTCGCGGGGCCGGCGCTCAAGCGATAGACTCAGAAACCCGCGTTTTCGCGGGGCCGGCTATCAATGTGTTAAGAGGTTTGCTTTTGTTAAAATACTGCCGTATTACACGTGTCTAGTTTATAGACAGTTTTCTATTTTTCACGATATTCGCGATGCAGCTACACTCTCACACAGCGTCTGTAACATATGAGGAAGCTCAAGAAAAGTCAACATGAGAGAGCGACACTGCCGTTCAATGTTAGAACTTCTGAGTCTTTGTCGGTAAGAATGGATAACACAATAACAACTGATCAATAGTGGATAAGTTAAATTTCTTGAGGTCGATAAGTTTTCGAGAATTGATAAGTTATCGGAGTCGATAAGTTTCCGGAAAGCGGTAAGTTACCAAAGTCGATAAGTTTCCGGAGAGCGGTAAGTTACC